ATCCGGGTCACCTCGAACTCACCTCGACTCGACCCAAAAATTAATTCAATAAAATAATACAAAATAAACTCAAATTAAAATTAATGTTGATTCGAATTGAATCAGGCTCGACGAGGCTCGATCAATGCAATCAAACGCGTCCGATGGCAATTCGGGAGAAAAACGAGGTCAACAACTGTTTGGTATTGATTGAAGACTATAGATAACTCTGGTAAGGTTTTAAATGGATAGATTGAATAATTCTTTCCAAGTTAGATCTTGGGGCGTTACACTATCAAACCCTAGTGAGTTGGGCTGGTTAGTTTTCTTCCTCAATTTTCATGTCTTGAAGGGTTGCACCTCTTGGGTTGGTTAATGTGTTTCTCTTTGTCATTTTTGTGTATGAAATGAAAAGTGAAGCAAAGAGAGACAAGGAGAGAGTGAGAGAAAGAGACATGCACAAATCTCTACCAAATTTCATAATGAATTTCTTGATGTGGTGTGTATCCCTTTTTTTACTGTTTATTGTTTTTCCATGTTAAATTATGGTGTTTTTTTTTTCTACTGCATTTTCTATGTCTTATTAATGTTCATTGTGTGGTTTTACTTACCCAACATATATTATTAAGCAAACCATTATAATCTCTTAGATTGAGTATTTTAGATTCTAACTACGATTAAAGAGCATGCCACTCTCAAAGCAATAAATTATTACTTTCTATATGAAGGGGAGCTTGACTATTGACTTGAGATTCAAGAGAACTAGAAGCTTCAAAAATCCCAATGCCATATCGAACCCTCGTTGTCCAACTATTGTTATCGAACCATCAACAACAAAGCACCAACATCATCTCGCTTATGTTTGACCATCATTATCAAACCACCAGTGTGGTATAGTCGTCATTAGACCATAATAATCACATGTGTCAGACAATCAATATTTGATCACAATCGTTCAACCTTGATCTCCCAACCATCGACGCTTGATATAGAACCTCTAATCAATATTGTCTAACTACGATTGTTTGACAACTATCACTGAATTATAATTCTCTGATTATCGTTAATTTACTACAATCATTCAATCAATATCATCTAACAGTATAAATATAAAATTAAGATAAAAAATATTTCATGCACTACTGTGAAAATTCTAGCATGCAAGTTTAAGTTAATCTCATCAATTCTGTCAATTTGATGTTGCCGAAGTGAATCCTAGAAGGCCCGAGACATCGCCGTCTGCTCTCCACGCGACCGCTATTCCACCGGTGGCGAGTGGTTTAGTAAAGGAAGAAAACCCTAGCTTTCCGCAGTAATGGAATCCCTCCCCTTCTCCAAAAGCCTCTATCACTCCATCCCCCATCACCCAATCTCTTCCCGGCCTGCTTCCTCCATTTCAACGAAATCCTATACCCTAAAACCCTTCTCCTCCAAAACCCTAACCCTAATCCGCGCCTCCCACCGACCGCCCACCCCCAAAACCTTACAAGCCATCTCCTTCCTTCTCAAACCCGTCATCCTCTCCGTCACCGCTGCTTCCGCTGTTTTCCTCTCCCGCTACTCCCTCCCCTCCCTCGCCGCCGTTGTCCACCCTCCCCCCGCAGCTCAATCCGAAACCCTCCCCTCCACTGAAGAATCCAGTGAACAAATCCTCGAGCAGCATCTTGCCTCCAACCCCGACGACGTCGACTCTCTCCGAGCCCTTGTCCAACTCAAAGTTAAGCACCAGAAGCTCCCCGAAGCCATTGCGGTTGTCGACCACCTCATCCTCCTCGAACCCAGTGATCCGGACCTCCATCTCTTGCGAGCCCACCTCCATACCTACAGCGGTGATACAGAAAAAGCCAGAGAAGGATTCGAAGAGATTTTGTCGGCGAATCCTTTGGTTGTTGAGGCTTATCATGGGCTTGTCATGGCTGCTTCTCGCTCCCGTGATGTGAAAGAGCTTGATGGGATTGTGGAAAGGGTTGAGGAAGTTATGCAGCGTTGCAAGCAAGAGAATAGGAGGAGGGAGTTGAGGGATTTGAAGCTTTTGGTGGCGCAGGTATGGATTATTGAGGGAAAGTATCAGGAGGCTCTGAAGATGTATCAGGAGATGGTGAAGGAGGAGCCTCGAGACTTCAGGCCTTATCTATGTCGGGGAATTGTCTATACTTTGATGAGGAGGATGGACGAGGCAGAGAAGAATTTTAAACAGTACAGGAAGCTTGTTCCTAAGAACCATCCTTATGCTCAATTGTTTGAGAATAACTTGAGTGGGATTAATGCTGCCATAAAGAAGAAGGATGACAATGTAAAGGTTAGTTCACTGCAGAGCTAAGATATGAAGAGGGGACCTTTTTGTGGAAATTTTTGTGTGTGATCCTTGCCTGAAAAGTTTGTTTAAACTTGATTATTGAAGCTGGCATTTTTTGCTTTCCAGATTTCATTGCTATACCTTGAAATTACTGGCAAGTTAGTGTTTGAATAGAGGATTCATTGTAGTCAGGAGATTTTTTTTGCTGTTTAAAAATATCAAAACCAAGTTTGTGATGAATATTAAAACTATCATTCTATGGGAGGTATTAGCCTGTGCTATATGCTTCATGTGTGATAGTTGCTTTAGGAAGCCATTGCCATATACTCAAATTTGCGAGGCCCAAACTTTCAGGTTGTTTGGCTGAGAATAACGCACAAATTATCAATCGTGTGGGAAATAGGCGACATAAATTTCCATTAAACATTTAGATACTCTTGATATATAACTAGGAGAACATGGTCTATGCCAGTCACTGATTAGAAAACTGAGCCTAGCTTTCTTTTTAAGTGGTTCAGAGATCTACTTTTAGATCATCTCCAACCGAACTGCATACCACCGTATTCCGTCCGTCATTCGCTGCATTCGAACTGCAAATTTCACGCCAAAATTTGGTAGGTGAACAGTTGCATTGTTCACCTGCACCAAAAAAATTGCTTTGCAAATTTGCCTAAGAAGAGAAAAGCGTGCGAAAGAGGAGAGAGATGGTTACCTTAGCAGGAAGAGCGCGAAAGAGGAGAGAAATGGAGTTCGATTGGAGATGAATTACACCATTTTAAAGTTTTATCGCATTTTAGAGTGGAAAAGGGTATTTCGGTTGGAGATGCCCTTAGCCCAAAGTGTCTAGGAAAGATTATTTTTTTGACATTGAACTAATTTACCATGATACGGGTAAGTTTTTGTTTGTCCAGTAATGAATTAATAGCTTGGTGATAGAGAGATTAGAATATTTCAAATTTGATGTTATTTAGTTGGTGATGCTATGTTTTTCAGTGTAATTAAGAAATTTCCACTAAATAAGTTTGGAAAGTCTCCAAAACTTTTAATTTGTATCTCACTTTTTTCTACTCCATATTAAAGGAGCCTTTTAATTTTTATTTTAGCAAGTGATGGATCTTTGAGGTCTCAACCTCTTGGCAAAATGCCTTGTAGTTTATACACCTTACCTTGCATTCCTTAGGGTTCATTCCCTTTGGGTGAGCTTATCCTTAGTTTCGACTACTAAACTGGCTATGCCAATGCTTATGACTTTGAGACAATCACGTATCAAGACCTATTGTACTCAACCTTGCACCGTACTTCTAAGCCAAGATTAGTATGAATTGGTTGAGGTTACTCTGGTTGGCAGGCCCTCGGGCCTTTGAAGCACACATACTAGTCCCCTCATGCTTGTTTTGTTTAAGGCAAACTTTAATTCTCACTTTGACGAAACATAGCCCTTTCATATATTATGCTCTTCATTTATTCAGAATGTTTAATAAAAGACATGCTGTAGCTATTAATTAGACTCTCTGGATGGCGTAACATTCCGACTCTTTTTTGTTGGTAGACTGGGCTTAATGGCTTGATTATGGACAATGAAAACATGGATCTTGGTGGGGTTGATAATCTCTCTCATTGATTCCTCTTACATAAATGTGTCATTGAACCCCCAATTTAGAGTGCATTGATATTCTTAATTGGGAGTCAAACATTGGGCTCGAGATTTAATTAATTATATGGGCTTGTACTCGTGGGAAACATTGATACTCCATAATTTTCCTTTAAAACTTGGAAATTATGTTCAGTATCACTCTATACGGAGGAATTTCTTTGATTAAATATGTCTAAATAGCTGATGAGAGGTATATTGTTTCTTTCAAAATCTAGAATGTCATATCTCAGCTATGATATGGCTTCAAAAAACCCTTTTGCAATGGATACTCGAGGTCAACAAGATAATATTAACCTAAATATAAAAAAAAATGATAGCAAGTGGTAGTTAAATCATAATAATTTTCATTGTCAAAGTGGAAGCACTTGTTAAATTCCCGTACAACAACCATCAGATATATTGCGTGCCCTCACATTGACTAATTTACCTCACCTTGTTTGAAGAGGCTACCTGGGCATCAACTTTGTACCATTTATCACACATGCAATACTGAGGACATTTTGCATCAATGTGGAGGATAAAGTCTTGCCTTACATATAATTACTTAATGTGAAATCGACTGTTAAGTTGAAAATTTTGCGTACATCAGATATCGTTTGAGATTTTTTATGGAATACTTGCAATTTGTCTTTTCATAGGAGTTATCATTTCCAAGCAAGTTAAAGAAAATTTGTTGCTGCATGGCAGAACATGAACATGTTATGAAACCGTTAAGGTTGCCCATTTAGCAATTCAGACAACCATTTGACATCCGTGTATTCTGCTGTTATATAGAGTCTGTCATAAATACTTATAATACACAATAGTCGTGATGAGATAGCTGCAACATTTTTGCTTAAAATGTTCTATGTTTCACTCTTCTTGTTCCTCCATTCTAATACCATGTTGAATAGAATTTTATGAGTAACACTTCCTTCACTTCTCATTTCAAAGCTGCAAGAAATAGAAATATGTTGCTTTGCTAAACTTGGGGCACACTAAATTTTATCAATTAATGGCAAAGCATGAAATATAAACCATGTCCAACATCCATGAATATCTGTTTGCAGAACTTAGGATAGCAGAAACTAAACAAACAACCACAAAGAACTACCTTATATTAAAAGCTAAGATATGCACAAACATTAAGAAGTTTTTCATTAATGAAATACAAGTCTTTGCCACCTACAAAGAAACTTAAGCATCTTTTAAGCCATTATGCTTATTAGCCAGCTCTCTTTTAGAAACCATAACTTATTATCATCAAGTGTCAGAAATATCAATTGGTTCATCCTGTCAACTGTAAAGCTATAGAGCGAAATGTCTTTGTAAATAACATGATCAGTCGGTGACATGATTGAGCTCCCATCCCAAGCTATTCTCTCTGTTTTCAGCCCTTTCTACAGTTCCCACTTGTTTTTATGCTAGCTCATTTAGGCTTCGTTTGGAACGGCTTTCTTACTTCTTTATAAAGCTACTTATTAATACAAAAATATCTTAAAAGTAGGAAAAAAACAATGATTTAAAGCTGTACCAAATGAAACCTTAGTCTTTATTTGATCTTTTTCATATTCCTTCCTCATCAGGTGTGCAAAGTGTTTCATAGAAAATTTCTAGCATTTTTTATCGAATTATGCAGTTGGACGATTCCCACGTTCCTGGAACATAGATATTGCAAATCTTGAGGGTTTCTTTTTCAACCAATCCCAATATTTTGACAGGGCCATTCCCTTGGCTACTTTATCTGATTTCATAAAAAAAACTATAAAAAACAGCATTTCAACACAACGTAGATGTAGAATCATGAAAGGAATTCGCATAGAGAGAATTATTTGTCATAAATACAACAAAATGACACATGGTGAAATTATAAATTGCTATGAACAATTTTCGTTAAGGCACATATTTTCCTTTTTAAAGTCACATAAACCATATTATAAATATTTTTACATTAAGAGAAATGTTATAAATACATACAAATAGCACCTTGAGTGCAAATGGACATTATATATTTAGTGGGACAAAGGCTTGATGTTGTTGTTGTTGTTGTATAAAAGCGATATTTTGCAAATGATGGGCAGAAAGCACAGCAAAAAAATTTCATTATAAGAGCAAATTAGGTGAAAGTCGCAGCAAAATCTAGAGAGGCAATGTTGATGCATTACCAAAAAAGAATCTAGTAGCCTTTCATTCTTTGTGATTTTAAAAAGATATAAAAAAAGAAAAAAAAGTTCAAGCAAAGACTATCCGCATGCATATTTGGCTTAACCTTTGTTGATATTTATGGAAGCTCTTTCAATTTTTTGATTTGAGGCATCTGTTTCCTTAGATAATTTTTTGATTAAAATACTCTACAATTGATAAATGGCACAGTTGGAACATATCAGGAATTTCCCCATCATGTATGTGATAGAAATTAAGTTCTTTTATAACTTTTCCTTCTGCTCTGCAAGTAAATGAATGCGCTATTTTCAATTTTCGATTCTGCTTCTAGTTTGGATGAGTGAAAGATTTTAAGCTTTAGCAAAATATTCATTTTCCTTCATTTTTTTTACAATCAATTAACTGTTATTATCACCGCTTATACTGGAGCCCAGCATCATTGTTGTATGAGATGCTGTAAGAGCGTCCTGGTATAAACGATATTCTGCTGTTACAGTTTTTTTTTTTTTTTATTTAATGGAAATTATGATCAATAAATCACAATGTGGCTCGAATTTTTTATATCAGAACAATAATATTCTTTTTAATCAATGATCCATGAATTCTTTCACCCATCATTACAGATTCTTTCTCATGTCGGTTTGTTTATTAGTTATCCTTCGCAACTGCTGCAGTATTAGTAATTTGTTTTTTCAAAAGCTGAGAAGGATCTCCTATAGACTGCTTTGTTTGGGACGGCTTTCTTGTTATTTTTTAAAATAGCTTTTTAGTACAAAAATAAAAAATATTTTATTAAAAAGCTGCTTTAAAAAGCAGTAATAAAATCATCTCAAACGAAACCTTAAATGGCATGATGCTGCTTCTGCTGCAGGTTTTCTCTGTACTCACTAAGGTTTCGTTTGAAACGGCTTTTTTACTGTTTAAATCAGCTTTCTAGTATAAAAGTAAGAAAACTGTTTCAAAAGAAGTCTAAATTAATAACAGGGACAGAAGTTTACTAAGAGTTCCATCAATTTTCTTGCTTCTGGTACTGCCAAAATATTAGTTTGACAAGGCTGAGTCTTTCTTGTAAGTTGAACTTGTTTCTATGCTAAGGAATAGTTCTCTTCATGAGAAGTTATTTCTTAACACCCAATTTTCATGGTCAATAATGATTGAAGGATCATGATCGGGCGACGATTGTTAAATGATCTAGTTTGGCTATGTGGTCAGAGGTTCATAATTTGGT